AGGCTCAGCATATATCAGCGTCTCTCTGTTTTAAGAAATGTACAAATGCCAACTTTTGAAGAAGAGGAATTGAGTCTCAAGTTTGTTTATGAACTTGCTCCATGACTTTGACAAAACTGGTTCATAGGTCTGAGCCTCAGTGTTCTTTTTTTTTTTTTATCCCAATAAGAGTGGCAACAAACTTGTCTCATGACTATTTTAAGGAAGGATTAAGAGACTCAGAACAAAGCTAGGCCTAGCTGTGCTGGACTATATTTGGGAGGTTGAGGCTGGAGGACTGCAAGTTGAGTCTCAGAAAGTAATGCTAGTGTTGCTTTGATATATTAAGTCTTCCCTTTGTAGGGCAGCATAGATCTTATTTATAAAACTTTTCCCAATACCTACATGGATCACAAGGATTCTATCCCTATCTTGAATTTTATTATTATTTTTCCTGTATCAATAAAGTAAAGCTTTTTTTTCCCTTTTGTGTGTAATTGTGTATATTTAAAGCAGCTCTTTGACGGCAGAGCTTTGAGTAGCCTACATAAAGCAAAGGCTGTGTGACTTCATGGGGAACATAGGCTTAAGAGTGAAATCTGGGTTCAAATTCCAGCTTTACTCTTTAGCTGCTTACATGGTGTCTGAGAGGAAAACTTTTTTCTCTATCCTCTCAGGTTCAGTAGCAAAGAGATCAATGACTTGAACTAGCAAAAGACACATTAACAGGGAAAAAAGGGAATGCCATGTTTTATCAATTGTCAATATGCACAAGAGTTTACACAAAAAAAGTAAAACTCAGGAAAGTGTAGGCCAGTGTAATGTTTTAATAAAAACAAAGGAGAGTTGGCCTTCAGGGAATTATAAATCATTGGGAATTGACTAGGCAATAGGTAAGTGAAACTGGAAATGTTTATGCTTTGATTTTAGGTGGAAAGGAGAAAGTAAATAACTTTTCCTGTATCTTGCTGATCTTATTTTACTTCAGCTGCAAGTGATTCTTAAGCCAAAGGGATATATTCCATGGCAGTCACATCTGTTCCTTCTCTGGACTTGTCAGCTGTAAAGTTGGGACATAATCATTCCTTCATGGGATTATTAAGAGGGGTCAATGTACTTGGTTCAGAATTTGGAGCATTCAAAGAGCTCAAGCCCTGGTAGCTCATTTTAGATATTCATGGAATTGTGTTGTGATACAATCATTCAATACACCAGTAAAAGTAAAATAAAATAAAATACATGAGCCCTGAAAGTTGAATTGGCAAGTTGTGCCAATTAGTTTGTTGTTGTCAATTATATGTAAGCTAGAGTAATTTAAGAAGCAAGAATGCCAATTGAAGAACTGGCTCCATCAGATTGGACTGTAGGCAAGTTTTTTGAGCATTTTCTTGATTAATGATAAATGTGGGGAAGTCCAACCCACTGTGGGTGATGCCACCCCTAGGTAGCTGCTGGCCCTGATTTGTATTAGAAAGCAAGATGAGCAAGTCAGAAAGTACCCTGCTTCTGTGGTCTTTGCTTCAGTCCCTGTCCTGACTTGCTTCAACCACAGACTGTGATATGGAAGAAAGAGTTAAATAAATCCTTTTCTGCCCCCAAGTTAATCATAATGTTTATCTCAGGAATGGAAAGCAAACTGGGACATAAGCAAGTCTAACATCATACCATATTGATGCTTTCCTAACAATCTATATCCTGTTCCTCACAATGGGGTGTTTCTCATTTCCCTTCCTACTGTTCAGATAGGAGCACATGGTAGAGTTGCTGCTCACTGTAGATGGAATTTTCCTGTCCTAATTGTCTGCTCCCAAATAACCGATACAGAGGTTTATATTAATTGTAAGTGCTCATTCAATAGCTCAGGTTTATTACTAACCAGCTCTTACATTTTAAATTAACCCATATTTCTTTTACCCTCTGCCATGTTGCAATACCTTTATTAGCATGGCATGTTCATCTCCTGCTCCTTCTGCATCTGGCTAGTGATTCCTTTGACTCTGCCCTTCCTCATCTTGTCATTCTCAGTTTGGCTTTCCTGCCCAATTTTCTCCTGTTAAGCTATTGGCCAGTCAGCTTGTTTATTAAACCAACCATAGTGACACCTATTCACACACTGTGAAGGAATATTCCACAACAGCTCACCTCCTGGCAGTCCAGAAGGAAATACTGAGGGAGAAGGAAGTAGAACTTTGTTATCCCCTCCAAGGGCATACCTCTAGTGACCTACCTTCTTTAAAGTAGGCCCTACCTCTTAAATATTGTACCATTTCCCAGTAGGGATATAAAGGGAATATGGCTGTGGCTTCTGTCACTCAGTTGATTTCCAGACTTGATTTGGTTGGCTAAGCTGGTGTCCCCTTCCTTTCTCACTGCTTCATGTGTGTCCTTCCAGAAGCTGCAGGCTCCAAGAAGGTTGAAGATGACAACCTTCCCTGATGGAGGGGAAACTATTCTTCCATAAAGGGCATATAAGAAGTTGGTCTCCCCTGCTAGAACCTACAAACAAGTTCTCATGGCCCTTCATCTCCTAATAGCATCAGAGGCTTGTGACCAAACTTTGATATGTGGAACTGTAGTGTGCTCATCTGTATTGGGGTTCAGGACAATAATCCTAGTCTACTTACACTATAGTGTCAGGAAGAAAAAATAGACTAGTACAAAAAGCAGTGTGAATGCTTTAATCTGTAAAAGCTATTCTTGCTGTTAGTAATAGTAACTCTACTGTCTTGAACTGCTACAATTTGAGAGGGTCCCTGCCAAATCAAAAACATCTGAACACAGACTACTTCCAGACATGCAGAATACCCTCATCCAAGGAAATAATAATGGTGTCTTTGTGGCTGGGTGGCTGTTGTCTAGGAGATGGCTCCAGATAGCCCAAATAGCTGATGGGAATGATGTCAATTCTGGGCTTGGCAGAAAGAAAAACCACAATGAGAAAAATGGAGCAATGGCCTCTTTGTCTATAACCATGAATATGCTACAGTAGCAGGAACAACAACTTCCGATATAGTTTTTCTTTTGTATAATTGACTCTATTTTCGTTTGCAGGTTCATAAAGCTTAAGCTCATACTCTGCAAATATGTCCTTACTGAATAGGATAGGGGATTAATCCTAATGGGAACTTCCTATAGTTTCTTTATAGTTCTCTATTCTTTTTTTTTTTTTTGGGAAAGCAAAAGTCCTGAAAGGGGAAGAGTTCACAGAATATGTTATAGTGTTGTAGTTAGCATCTAGGCATCCACACTTCTATTCCTGCAATCCTATCACAGCCACCTTGATATATTTACTTGAAGAATAGAATCTGGTGTTTATAGCATTTAAGTACTATGCTATCTACACTAGACTTTATGTCTTTCTTTGATTTCTGTTTTTGTTGTTACATTTCATACATACATACAGTCTGTTATGATCATATTCATCACCTCACATTACATTCTGTTCCCATGCACTCCTGATGACTCCTTTGTTATTTCCAACTAGTCTCCTATGCTCATGTCCTTTTTCTCTCCACTTAGTTTAATTAGGGTTGCTTTTATGAGCATGGGTGGGGGTTATTCATTGGAGTATGTGCAACTTGCCATGAAACATAATGACACCACCTCTTCTAGCAATCACATATCTCATGTCTGAATTGTAAGTTCCAAGATGGAAAAAGAACACTTGGGGAATATGGCCTGTCTGAACCATTTAGGACATTGGAGTTCAGAGGCATCTGGGCTCAAATCACAGCTCTCACTCTTGCCAGTTTGCAAAGAATGTTTGGGATTCGGGGGTGGGGGGTGGGATGAGAATGAGTATGGACATGTGAACATATAGAATTACTATTGACAGAGTTCCTAAAGATATCTTAGGTCATCCTCACAAAAACCTTGTAAATTTGGTAGTAGCCCCATTCTATCAGATTGAGCACTTGAGCTTGTCAGGCACTCCTTCCCCAAGGACTGCAGAATATAACAAGGAAAGGTCTCACTCTACAAGTCTGGAGCTAGTGTTGTGCAGTACAAAGAGCAAAGTGACTGCTGAGTGATCAGTCAAAACAAAAAGAAATAAAATGGCAGGACAATCTACTTAACTACTAGGGACCACTGTTCCACATCCATGCATCCTCCCTATCTCTCTCTCTCTCCTCTCCTTCACTTCTCACTCTCTATTCTCTCCTTCTCTTATCTCCCCCACCTTCTCTCCACTTTCAGTTCCTCTCTCTCACTCCTGTGTGGAATCATTAAAGAAAAGTGAGGAAAAACTCCTGTGAGTGGGAGGGTTCCAAGGGAGGAATAGCTGAAATTCCAGTTTTGTCAGGATCATAATTTGGGAGAGCACAGCGTGGCTCTTCTAATAATATCTTCATTCAATCCAAGAAGGTTATAACATGGTTCCAGAGGACCCAGATCTCCATGTCAGGAGCTAAAGATCTGGTTTTAGTGGATAGTAAATTTGTATATTCCTTTAGCAAGTCATTTCTTCTCCCTGGGTCCCAGTTTACTGATTGTTGGTTCACGAGTCCTAACGGTAACAAATTTTACTGAAAGCTTTGATATGAAGTATGGCTGGCCCCTTTATAGGTATGAGGCATCAAACTTAATTTGTAATTGTTGCTTACTCTAGCACTCCACAGTTGGTATTTTTCTAAATAGAGGCAGAACTCAATTATCTGAATTTCAAAATACGGCAGGAGTCGTTTGCGTAAAAGAACCAAGGCGCGAGCGTGGAGTCATGATTACAGAACAGGAAACAGAATTAGATACTTTGAGCTGTCCCACCTCCCGCTTAAATTAACAGACCAGAGTGGATTTTTACCCTCAACAAATATGGCCCCTGCCTTGGCTTCATCTCGAGTACCCTCACATACAAAAAATGGCGGCCAGCGTCTCTTTTCTTAGTATTACAGGTTCAAGCGCGAAGGTTCTGCCCTGAGTTAAGATGGCGTCCACTCATACTTTCCCTGCCCGGTTTCAGGCCGGAGCAGGGCGGCTTCACCGCGCGTGCCTATGACCCCGCCTTGTTTCCGTAGGAAGAAGCGAAGGAAAGATGGCGGCGGCTGCGGTTTGAATTCCAGCGGCGCCGCTAGACTGAGAACAAGAGCTGGGTTGGAAGGGGCGGGACCTGGGGAACTGAGCGTGTTGCCACAGCTTGGGGAACCAGTGGCGCCACTGCAGATACCGGTGCCACCATTTCTGTGTTCATTGATGGACTCTGGAATGGAAGAGGACATCACTCTGCCCGGGATCCTCAGCAGCTGCAGGTGTGGCCCTGATTTGGGGGTTTGTGGTAACTGGGTTGGGGTTCCTATTGATGGTGGTTCTCTCCCGTGAGGCCTTCCGTTTGGCCTATGTGTGTTGGGACCTTGGGGTGTCCAGCCAACTCCTCATTCGTCTATGGTATACTAGAACATACTTTGAGAGTGTGTAGGCTAGGTAAGGGACTTTTTGAAAGACTGGGAGGAGGTGGGACTAATTGGTATTTCTATTAGTAGGAGCTGGTTCGGACCAGGACCCTAGGGCACTTGGTGATTCATTTTTGTTTGAGGGGTTGCATTCGTTATGAGGAGTGTAGTTGTTATTATAGACTTTTTTTTTATGGGGGAGGGTGCACGAGTTAAGATCCTTGGCTGAAGATGACAGAATTGGGTTTAGTTAGATCCACCCTATAAATTGACTATGTGGGTGACCTTGGTAAATTGACTTCTGCTCTGTAAAATGTGCTAATGGTAATATGCACTCACCATAATTGGATGAGAATGAAAAGAAACAATGGCTGCAGCAGTTCTCTTGGCAGTGTGGCAGCTGGCACAACAGTGTTGAAAAGAGGCATCTGTGTTACCTTCATGACCACTACTACAGGTTGTGTCTTCTGTCCAAAGCCCGTGGGACCAGAAATTACATTATTGTGGACATTTGGAATAGGTTGTTGGCAAGAGAACTAAACTAGCCCAGTGTCTAATTCAATGGATCTGCTAATACTCCCCTTTCCTTCCTCTCCCAACCTTGACAGGCCAGATATTGCATTCATTTCTGGTAATTCACATCTTAACCTGATCTAGCCCTCCCAGGCAACTTGCTGTCTGCAGGATGAAGTTCTGTCATGTGTCTTCCGTGTTTCTTCATAGCCTGCTGCATTTACTTCTCTAGACTTCCTGCTCTGTTTCTGTCTGGTTCCCAACCCTGACTTTGTCCTATGCCTGATTGCCAAGCTTTGTGTCAGGAGTGATCTTGCTGTGTTTCTTGCTGCCAGGCCTGTGTACTTGCTTTTCTTGCTACCCCAGTTGCCCTTCCTACACCTTTTGCCTTATTAATATCCCTGTTCCACTGCTAGGAAACCCTCACTGTTATTCCCACCCTTGCCTGAATTCGCTGTACTGTACCAGGTACTCTTGATTGTTGACAACCACTAACACTGTTCAATAGAAATCCGACCTATGTTGTATATTTAATTAAAAGCTATCTTGTAAGCCAGGCATGTTGGTATTCACCTTTAATCCCAGCACTGGGGAGGCAAGAGGCAGGTGGATCTCAGAGTTCAAGGCCAGCCTGGTCTACAGAACAAGTTCGGGACAGACAGGGCAGTACAGAGAAAACCTATCTCAAAAACAAAACAAAACAAAAAAACAAAACAAAACAAAAACCCTAAAACTTCTGGTAGTTGCAATTAAAAAGTAAATAAAAAGAAGCAAGTGAAATTCCTTTCTTTGTGGTGCTGAAGGTTGAACACAGGGCCTCACATGTGCTCAGCAAGTGCTTTACCACCATGCGGCAGTACTATTGGGAGCAGGTGACTTAATAACATATATAATGATAACAAAATCTATAGGAAAACTTGTTGATGAGGTATTTTATACTTTTCATTCTTAATCTTTGACATCTGGCATGAATTTTTACATTTAAAATCCTTCTTAGTTTGGACAAACTGCATTTTAAATTCTAGTTAATGGCCTATGTACTAGCTGGTACAAGTATTGGATATTAACATGTGGTTACCAGATGAGATGGAGACCTATTTTAGAACAAGAACTAGTTTGGTTCATATATGTAACCCTACTTCCTAGCCTAGTGTCTGGGACACAGTAGGAGCAGAGTGGCATTTCTTAAGTTACTGAGTGAGAAGTGATTCTTTGAGGGGCTGCTTTTGTCCACTTGTTCTCTGTGGGACTCCTGAAGCTCAGAGAGCTGAAACAAATGGTCTGGGGTCACATAAAAAGTCCATTATAACTCAGCACTTAATTCCAAGCTTCCTGAGTCTAGAGATGTTTTGCCTTCTGGATAGTCTGAACTAATCAAACTGAGTATTCAGGGGCTCATGCAGAACTTCTGTCACTGAACTGGCCCTTCAAAAGTATCAGAAATATCCTGGGAAGGATGGGTCTCCATTAGGTGACCACAACAGGAGAAAATAGTTTCTATAATAACGTCATACCTTTTCATTTTAATATGTTGCTTTCTGAGTACCCTTCTCTTGGTAATTTGCAAACCCCATGTTTACAGCCTAAACTGAGCCCAGTTTGTCTGTGAACTTTTATTTCATTAGGTCAGGTACACTATTTGCTTCAAACCTAATCCTTTTACATGTTTTAAGCAGCTTTATTCCCATGGAATTTGGACCCAGGGATTCTGCCCCAGTTAAGACTCTTACATCTTTTTAATGTAGAAAGACCTGTGCTTGGCAGTCAATATGATAGCACAGATGGCAGTATAAACCCTCGTTCAGCCACTTACTTGTTATGCTGCTTTTAATAAGTCACTTCCCTTCCAAGCCTCAGTTTTTCTTTGTTGATAAACTCACTTTATTGATGGTTATGCAGATGAAGAACAAGTGTATATATTAAGCACCTGGCTTGCACTGAAGAAAATGTGAATTCAACTTGTGTTCTTAAACACATACTACCATGTACAGGATCCTCAACACTGCAGCCCTCAGTCTGTCTCTTTGTTTACATGCCAAGAGTCTCTCTGTGCTCAACTGTGAGTGTCCTGAGGCCTGAGCTCAAGCTTATTGAATCATGGGTTGCTCTAGCACAGGGCCATTAAGTGCTTGCTGCCCTGTTAGGAACATACTGGAAGGAAATGTTTAGCCACAAGCACAGTATGATTTGTGTCATCATCATGGATGCCAGGAGAAAGGTTCTGAAAAGAGGACATGGGGGTAAAATCACATGAGGGATTGATGGTAGTGGGCTGGCTTGGATCCAGTGTTTTCTTGGACTGTGAGGCTTGAAGAGAACTTTGGCTCTTTAGTTAGTAAGGGCCTAAGTTTGATTTCCAGAACCCACACACAAAATTCTGGACATGGTGATATGTGCTAGAGTGGCCAAGATCAGATCCCTGGAACTTGCAAATTATCCAGTTTAGCCTAATCTACAAACCCCAGACCCAAGAAAAAAGACCCTGTATCAAACAAAACAAAATAGCCAGGACAAGTGGCTCCTGAGGAATGGCGCTCCAGGTTTACCTCTCACCTCCAGATGTGTCTGTGCACTGTTGTACATACACCCACACTGACATGTGCTACCAACACGAACAGGAGCACATATATGAAGCTGTAATTTTTATACAATAAAGCTTTCTCATTTAAAGTAAACTACAAAATGTAAATGGTGTGCTAACATCACCATAATCCATATTGAGAACGTTTTCATTATTTGAAAAGAAACCTTTGTCCATGAGCAGTCCTTCCTCATTTTTCTATTGTCACCCTGTCCCCAAGTCAGGCCTCTTTGCCCACAGTCAATATTTTTTCTCTAAAGATTTATCTATTCACATATAAGGTTCCTCACAGTACACATTCCTCTGTGAGATCACATTGCAGCATGCATCACTACTTTTTTTTCCCCTTTTGGGTCAAATAATAATCTGTTGTACCTAGTTGTACCTGTGTATGATGTTTTGTTCATGTCAGTGGGTAATTGTTTCTTTTCTTTCTTTTTTTAATGAACATTGTTATGAACCTTTATTTGGATATGAGTTTTGTGTGGATGTGAGTTTTCGCTGATCTTGGGAAGTCTGTGCTTGTTATTTGAGGGACTGCCAAACAGATTCCAAAGATGGGCTCTATTTCTCTCTCACCAGTAGTGTCTTGCAGGTTCTGGGTTTTTGTACTTCACCAGCACTTTTCATCAACTTTTTGACACAAGTCACCATTGCAGGTGTGTTATGATATGTCACTGTAAATTGATCCTTTAATGCCTGGTGATCATGTATGTCTTTTCATGTGCTTCTTAACCATTTGTATGTCTTCTTTAGTGATATGTCTTTTTTGCACAGTTTTTAAAAATGTGAATCATTTCAGCCTGGCAATTTCACTTCTTCATATCTGTTCTAGAGGCAACCTCATACACAGTGGGGCCAGTGTACATATATTCATACAGCATAGTTTTTAACAGAACTGCTTGCAAGCAAGTTGAATTCCTTTTAGCAGGTGATCGAGTATATACACACATCCTTTCAAAACATCTTTCAGACTGTTTCCAACCCACTGCTGGCTCTTAAAAGTCAGCTTCCTAGGTTGTAGCCAGACCTTTTAAAAGTAGGACAGAACAGAGATGGCTTCAGGCATTAAGGAATTCTGTGATGGATCATTGCCAGGAAAGTTTGAAAATTACTGCTGCAGAATTCTTGGTAGGGTTACAAATGTGGACACATACCCATGTGTACAGTCACCAAAACTTAAGCAGGAATCTGCAGCTAGAGGAAGGGTGGTGTAGAGTATCACACACACTGTGATTGCATTGGTGTGTGTGTGTGCATGTGTATTCATCTGCTTGTGTCCCTTCGTGCATTTTCCTCTACCTATTGCTCCTCACCTTGGTTTTTGAGACAGTCTCCATTGAACCTGGAGCTGTCATGTTTTAGACTGGCTGACCAGCAAGCCCCCAGATACACACCACCCCTACCAGTGCTGGGTTTACAGGCATATGCCACTACACCTGGCTTTTACATGTGTTCTTGGTATCCAAACTGAGCTGTTCAAGCTTGTACAGCAAACACTATCCACTGGGCCATCTCCCTGGCCTCCATTTGTCTTACTTTAAGCCAGAACATAAAACTATGATTCTCTATGCATAAATGCCCAGTAGAAGGCCAGTAGGCACTTTGTTATATCTGATTTTTATCTTTATGCACTTATTCTCTAATTAAAATTCATGGCTTACAGTGAAAAAGAAAGTTCAGAGACAAACAGCAGTGCTCTTGTTCCTGTGAGTGTTTTGTCAGGGTGATGCCCAGTCTGCCCCAGCTCTGATGGCACTGTCAGTGAAAAGCTTAGTTCCCTTTGGGTCTTTCTGTGTGAATGGACAATTATTTCTAGCAAATAGAAGCACAGAAAGAGTTGGTTTCTTCAGAGAGGCAATAAAATAAGACAGGAGAGGTAGAGAAGTGTCCTTTCCCCTCTGGCCCAAGGCATACCTCTCCTGGCACATGGTGGATGCTTGCTCATTTATTCATTCAGCAAAGATTGGTGGCCATGCCTTGTGCTGAGGACTAGAAGACCCTTCTTCTTCTCATTTATTGTTCATTGTCCCTATCCTTGGCATTAGGAGGCCAGAGCAGTCAAGAGGTGCAAAGTGGGAGAAGGGAAATCATGCCAAATGTAGGCTTCTTGTCTTTACTTTTGGAGGCCTGGTTTTTCATAACACCCCCTCCCCCAAGAAAAAAGAAAGAAAGAAAGCAACACTTAAAATGTAGCACCCATTGAAAAGGTGGTGGTTGAACTTGATTTCAGTTTTTAAAATTCAGTTTAGAAAATGGACTTTGTGGTGCTTTTGGAAGAAATAGAAAATTAAGATAAAGGAAAATATCTCATCGCTGTGAGTGATACTTTTGGTTCTTTGGAATATTTTCTTGGTGTTAGGTATTTGTAGCTCAGCAAGATTCTACAAAAGATGTAGAATGACTTTACATGTGAGTTTTCATGATTGAAGACATGTAGGAGCCATGGAGGAGTGCTGCTTACTGGCTTGTTCTTCATGGCTTGCTCAGCCTGTTTTCTTATATAGTACCTAGGACCACCTGCCCAGGGATGGCACCACTCATATTGGACTGGGCCCTCCCCCATTAATCACTAATTAAGAAAATGCTTTATAGCTGGATCTTTCTCAGTTGCGGTTCCCTCCTTTAAGTTAACTCTCGCTTGTGTCAAGTTTATATAAAACTAGCAGCACAGAAGAAAAGGCCTGGATTTGACACTTAGTTCTTCACTTTGCTGCCATCTGACTATCAGAGTCACTAAAATTATCCAGGCCTCAGTGCCTTTCTTTAGAAAATGCATGCACCTTCAGGGAACTGGCAGTTGGAACAAGTGTAAATATTTTATAAATTATAAAGCACTGTATGTGTGAGGGTGACAGTGATATTCTTCTCGTGTTTGTGAAGCACCATAATATGCCAGGCATCTTGTGGGTACTGTTTGTCTTGTTTATTTATTTATTTTTTACCAAGCCTGTTGCTCTGTGAAATAGCTGATATTCTCCTATTAGAGCAGAAGGTTGTGTGGCTGGGAGAGGTGCAAACAGGACTTAGAACACACTGCAGAGGCATGCCTGTTGTAGTTTAGATTTCTGTCATTGTCCCCAAATCCTCACTGAACCACTTTAGACAATTTGACAGTGACAGTGTCTTAAATCAGTGACTTGTGCATTTTTGTTTGATGTTCCTCAAAGTCTGAATTTATGCCTGTATTAATTACTTTTCTATTGCTGTGATAAGATAACTTGACCAAATCTACTTATGGGAAAAAGAAGTTTATTTGGGACTTACAGGTTTAGAATGTTAGAGTCTGTGATCATCATATCAAGTGGGAAGTTTGGCAGCAGGAATGCAGGCATGACACTGGACCAGTGTCTGAGAGCTTATGTCTGGAGATGGCAATCACTGGCTGGAAGGGAGACTGGGAATGGCATGGGTTTTTGAAGCCCCAAGGCCAAAGATATACCTTAAGTAAGGCCAAACTTCCTAATCTTTCCCAAGCTGTTGCGTAGACTGGGAACCAAGTATTCAAATATATGAGTCTACTGAGGTCATTTTCATTCAAAGCACCATAGTTCCTTATTTCCAGAAGTTTACCTTTTGATTGTGATAAATGGTTGATGATATCTAACAGATAAAATCAGACTCAAAAACCCAAAGTGTCTTATAACTGGCATAGTGCCTCCACTTACATGTACTTGTAGGTTAAATAGCTAAATGACTGTCCACCATGAGTATCACTCAGGTGTGATAACTGGCACTCAGAGCAGAGCTCTCAGCTTCAAAGCCTGAATTCATAAAGTTCAGTGCAGCTCAGCCTTGTGTCCTTCTGGGCCCTGGTCCAATGACTGTTACATGAGGTCCATGCTCTTACAGGTCTCTTTTGATCAAGTGCTAGATCATCTCTCATCTCACTGTGCTCTCTCCTAGTGGCCTTCACCCTATTTTGCCAGGTGAACTAAATGGCATCAGTGACACTGCTGGCTTGGGAAATGGAGGTAAGTGTACAAACCAAGAATAATGGGGAGTAGGCTAAGACCATGAACATCTGAGGCCTGGATTTGTCTCCTATTGCTCTGGTGCCCAGAGCCAACCTGGTCTGGTCCACAGTGGGCACTTAGTATCTTGGACATGAGTGCTGATTTGCTTTTAACCTTCTTTATAAACATGAATTAGAAGAGAAGAGTCCCATGTCCTTGGACAAAAGTTTACTTCCTGTTAATAACAGCTATATGGAAGCTGGACATTGAATTGGTACGACACTAGGGTTCTGACACTAGGATTCCGTTGGTGTCTACTGCTGAATGCTTGAAGCCCAAGAGAGCTGCTATCTGGTTTCACTGCACCAGGGTTTTCTAGCAGGGTGCTGGCTGGCTAGAAGTAGCTGCTCTGACTGTAGGAAATGTTGCTTAATATCGGCAACATGTTAGGTTTAAACTGGGTTATGGGAAACTGCAGTCTGGGTTTTGCATTCTTCATTTTTATTTTGGAAGAAGTGTTTGCCATCCTAAGTGTCTGTGTGGGTGGTGCTAATAAATTGCCTTGCTGAATTATCTTAGAGATATTTTGACTTGTGCTTTTTTTATATCTTCTCTAAAGTCTGGAGATAAGTATAAAAAAGGCTTTTGGAACAGATAGAATAAGAATGAGAAGGTTTATTTCTAAGGAATGATATAACCTAATAGGCCATCCCCAGGTTTTCCTTTGGGAACTGTTAACTTTCACTTGAAACAGAAGATTTGATGAGCAGAAAGTTGTGCCCTTAATTCAGCCCAGGATGTACTTGCCTTCTTGCCAAGCTCTGGCCAAGCACTGGGACTCTGAGAACAGACAGACAAGAAGTTACTCTGATAAATCATTTGATGAAGGTTAGTAACAGAGATGTGTTAGGTGCTGTGAGAAGGGTGGGAGAGGAAGGGAGTTAAGTGAGTGTTGCCCAAGAGTCCAGATACTGGATCTGAGACTTGGCATGGGACTGAGGTAGTCAAAGGATGGAATGAGATTTCCCTGCACATATTGCTGAGCACTGACTGTGGAGAGAAGACAAACCCGCTGTCCTTGGTTAGGGACATCAGACTCTGCACACTGTCTCTACCCACACTTGCCTGTGCCTGGGGTCTTATGTTGTCTCCTCTGCCTGCTGCTACCTGCTGTGTGAGAGAGAGCTCATCTCAAAGCTCACCACCGTAGTGTCCTCTCTCCTCTGAGATATATTCATTTCCTTTATTCCTGTTGGCCTCTTTCCTAGTATCCAGAAACAAATTGCCTCTCACCCATTTGCACTCATCCTATCCTGGCCAAACAACAGGATGCTGGCCTCAGTTACCCCAGTTATTCCCTAACTGTTTGCTTTGTTTCTCTCCTGGACCCCATACAGTCTGTTCTCAGAGAGGCAGCCAGAGGGAGCCTGAATCTGTTCATGTTGCTCACATTCAGCCCTCCAGACAGCAGTGTAGTGGTTAGCCGAGTCTGCAAGGCCAGCCTTCCTACTTTACGTTTCTCTATCTCAAATTACCTTTTAGCATAGTATGTGATCACCCAGTTTTGTCTCTTTCCTCCTTTTAGAATGGCTCTATTTGTTTCTTGTTGTAGGCAGACTGAGAAAGCCCTGGCAGGAAGAAGCAACCTTTTAGTGAACTTTGTCAGAGAGTGGCTTCTTCAGTCATTCTGACACACTAACCTGTGTCATGTTAGTTTGTTTTCCTGTTTTGCCTACTTGCCTAGGTACCTATTGGGTGCAGGATCACTGGCTCCTTCACTGTTGTTCCCTAGAGCTCAGGCTGGTGCTTGATATAGGGCAGGTGTGTGGTAAATGTTTAATCAATTAAGGAAGCTCTGGAGAGACTGTTTCCCAACAAGGCCTGTGCTCACTCCTCATCAGGGTTGGAGTTTCCTGCCTTTGCCGGCTTTGGACGGAAACTCTTCTTGGAACATAGGTTCTGTGTTTATGATTTGCTTTATGAGGCTGTTCTCATGTGGCTGCAGAGATTGAGTACCCATGACAGATTGTAGGCTTTGTGTATGGCCTACAAAGCCCCAAATCATCATTGGTGGTTTAAGAAAGAGTTTGCCAATTTTACTGTCAAGGCAGTCTGATTCTGTCTCAATTACTGACATGTGAGGAGGAGGAAGTACATCCAAGGACTGTCTACTTTGTCACATGCCTCATATCTTTTTTGGGGGTTAATCCCCTTGACATATGTAGCTACATTGGGATCAGTTAGGTAATTTGCCAATATTAAGTAATTAGAGTGTTCTCTGGACTCTAATCAGTAAATGCCAACAAGCAGAAGGGCTTGCAGGTACATTAAGTGCTATTCTGATCTTCTCTTTTGGACTTTCAGCCCCAATAGGAATGTTGGGCAGCCTGAATACCCTAATGATTTTCTTTGTCTGTTTTGCCTTTCTTTAGTGCTCCCAAACATGTCAGAAGAAAAGGTCTCTCCTACCAGAGCCCGGAATATGAAGGACTTTGAAAATGTAAGTGAAAATACTAAATTCTCTTCCTCTAAGAAGTCATATCTGCTGCCACCTTGTAGTCAGACCAGCAGAGAACTGTTTGAGTAATGCCAGAGGTGAGGGTGGGTGGTGGGGGTGATATGTACCATGTGGTGGGGTTTTCATGTCCTGGAGCCTTATGTGTGAGGCATTTACATGTACACACAACCAGTCTTTCATAAAGGTCCTGGTAGGTTCTGACAGGTAATTGGATTGTTTCTGGAGTCTTGAAGATGAGTGTTGCCGTATTGTCCAGCAAAGTAGAGCTGATAATATCATAGGTACATGATTGATTGGTCTTTGCTATAACTCATGAGGTATTTTATATTAGCCCCATTTTACAAAGGAGTTCTCAGAGTAGGAGAGACTGATAAATAGTCAGATAATACATTCATAAGAGGCAGAGCTGGAATTAAAATTTACTTTTTAGAAAATGAATATTCTTGTGAGATTTATTTTAATCTATGTGTTGTGTATGTATTGGTGTATATCGTGCATGCATGTGGATGTCTGTGTGTGTGTGTGTGTGTGTGTGTGTATAAAGATCAGAACACGATGGCAGTTATTTTCCTTTGTTACTGTCTGCCTTAGTCCCTTGGGACAGGATCTGCCACTGAAGCGGAAGCTTTTGCAGCTAGGCTGGTAGGTTGACCGACTGGCCAGCAAATCCCAGGATTTGCCAGTGTTTTGTTAATGCAGTAAGTTAGAGCATCTGGGCTCCTACCAGTGTGTGGCTTATCAATGTGCATGGCCCTATCCAGGGTTTTCTTTTCCTTTCTTTCTTTTCTTTTTTTTTAAGTGGGTGCTGGGTATTTGAAGTCAGGTCCTGATGCCTCTATAATAAGAGCTCCACCCCTAAGTCACGTAAGCATTATTGTTCTGCTGCATTGCCCCTCCCCTTTCATTTTATAGACTTTGTGGATGGTGTATGGAGTCTGAATAGCCTGTACCCAATGCTGTCTTGTAATTGTCAGAGAATGGATTATTGGTGACAGATCTGGCTTTGATGCTCAGCATCTTCCAACATTGTGCCTTTCATTTGTTAGCAGAGTGGGTTTGTTGTCAAGTAACAAGAAAATAAGGTTATTTTCCCAATTCCAATTCTCTTTTAACAAGTTACCTCCTCAACACTCTCATTTATCATGGGACGAATTGGACTCTTCTTCATTTGTAACCAAATGAAATCCATACTATGCAAGACACAGGAGATATTTATCAGAAAGAAGATGGAGGACACAGAGAGAAGGACGCCTACAATTATGCCTCTCTCCCCAGTTGTCTTTGCAGAGCACAGTGGTGCTGTCTCTGGATTTAATTTAGAATACTCATTACTGCTAATAGTTATCTGCAAACCACCAGTGACCAATTGAAGAAATGACTTGTCAGATCTCTAATGGAAACAAGTAATTTTTGAGCTTTGAGTTGTTATAATTTCAGCTGTACATGCGCTGTTACGCCGTGGGGTCTGGGGCCTGAACTGAATGAGATTTGATTGTTCCACATCGTGTATAATTAAAATATGCTCTCCTGTTAAATGCTTGTTCCTATTTGATCATAAGAGTAATAATAGCTGCTGTTTATTAGGCTCGGGCTCTGTGCTGGGCACTTTAAGTAGGAAGCTCTTCCTAGACATTCCTTTAATATTAAAGCAGCTTTGCAAGATCAAGAGTTATTATTTATTGTTGTAGAACACAGTTTTAAATTTCATTATCAGATGAGGAAATTGAACAGCATTGCATAGTTTTGGCTTTACATTGTCTTTTGAATCCGAAGGATTCAAATCTTGCCCTATTTAAGATACATAAGAGCTAGAAGGTTGGGGGTGTGATGTGAAGGTGTTCTCGGAGGACCTTCCTAAGGACCACAGTTTCTCCACATAGATTGTCTGTTGACCCTGGTTTGCTGGTGACTTTCTGCCAGCTGCTTAACCTCCCTGTATTTCCTCTTGTTTACAAGGGGCTGTTAGGAGGATGAAGCCTCTGTCCTATGATTGAGTACACCCACATGTCAGGTGGCCCTCCTTCTCCTTACTGTCTTATTACTGTCATTTTTCTCAGCTCTGCCTTGTGATTGAAGTTTCTCTTGCTCAGACTGTTCTTGATGGCCAAAATCTCATTTTTCTTGAAGGTGAGGGAGAGCTTTCTATGCCAATATGTTTTAGGATTTATGTTTTTTCTTTATGACTGTGGTCCTTTGGCTGCTGTTAGGTTTTTATGGCATTAATATTTTTTATTGTAGCATTTTCGAGAGCAAATTCTGCAGCAGAAATTGAAATGACCACCCTGTTCTCACTGTCTCCCTTTCAGGTCTTTATAAGTCACTGAAATTTTTCATTTGGCCTGAGCTACATTTTGTGACTCAGGCCTTCAATTTCTGGGGTAGTACTCTGAGCTTTCTGGGAGAAAAGAACTTGGCATCTAAAATGGGATTTAAAGGGGCATGCATATTAAAGGAGGCAGAATAATTTCTAATTACAAGGGAAACACCTGCTTTTCTCAGTTTGACTCCTATGTGAACATCAGCAGTTATATTTAACTAGAGTTTAGATAGACATTGTTTTGTAAGCTCAAAGTTTATTGGTTCAATAAACAGTTTCACATGGACAAACCAGCCTGTTGGTCAGGGGTTGGGATATCTACAGTGTGTTCTGCCCAGGTCAGTTTCCCTGTTATGGCCTGGTTGGAAAGATGATAGGAAGACAGTTTGGTGATGCAGTGAGTGAATAAGTGAAGGGTATTGTGTGGTCACCTGTGGATATCAGGGGCATCTAGGGGTTGGGCAAGTGAAGAGGGCTTGGAGCATACTATGTATACAAAGATTCACATGCAGCATTGAGAAAACATGTCAATAAAGTTAGGAGCCTCAGAATGAGGCTATCTCAAGGAATTATAGCCTAGAAATGGGTAGGTCTGTCTGGTTCTTGACTATTACACTGCTGATTTTTGTCTTGAAAGTGAAAGGGGAAGTAAATGACCAGAAATTGTGCTTTCAAAAGAAAGATTACCCAGCTTATGAATGCAAGGAGTAGAATTTTGAGGGGGACAAGGCTGGTGGCAAGATGATAAGGTTAAAGGAGATCTGAAAGATCTGGTATAGAAGCAACAGGGCCAGACCCTAGGGCATGGAAAAGATAAATGCAGAGTGGGGTCCAAGCATGGAGGCAAGAGATGTGGAGAGTAGAGTAAGATCACGACCTCAGAGATATGGAGAGTGGAATCAGAAGGGAGGATGTGGAGAGTTAGGTTTTATCATAGAGGTCAGAGATGCAGAGAGTGGGGTCAGAGCATGAGAACAGAGATGCAGAGTGGAGTCAGAGCATGAGAAGGAAATGTGTGGAGAGTGTGCAGAGCTAGAGGAGCTCTGGTCATTTGGCAAGCCAAGGGATAGAAGGCTAAAGGTCACTCAGCCTTTGTACCCAGTCCTTCTGGCACAAGATCTTCCTTGTGGTGTCCCAGTGTTGTACAAATATTAACGTGAAAACCAGGCTCCTTCTTTTGTGTATTGAAACGGGTACCTGATCATCCACTGCCTGCATTGACTGATGATAAAGTTAGCTATACATATGGAAATTAGCAAAGAAATTTAGTTCACTGGAAGCCTGACTTTTGGCTTCCTAGATGTTGTGTAGTAGGGTCTCTGGGCCAAACAGGACCTGGTGAAGTCAGCATTTTGATAAGGCCTGCATTTATCTGCTGTGATCTGGACTAGCTGCATTGTCCCTAAAAAAAAAAAAATGTGGATGAGTGAGGAAGACCCCACATCTGGTGTGACTAGAAGAGTTCAACTCTGGCTTTTGACAGAGTGCCCTGAGTAGTTTCCATTTCAGTTGGTTCTCATGAAAGCATCAGTGAGAGGCCTGTGTTCAAGGGGGTATGTTGGACCATAATTGCCTCCTATTAGACTTTCAAGTTTCTCATTTCTCATAGTTATATATGAGGCTGTGTGGTATGTACCCTTGTGTATTGTCTTTTTTATATTCGTGTAATTCTTGTTGGGTGATAAATGACTAGATGTGGGAGTTCTGGATGCCCCAACCTTTAAATCAAAATCACATGCAGCTAACAGTAGACCCTAGAGTAGGATTAACTTCCCACTGGTATCTTCTCCAAGGAGCTGGGAGAAACCTGGGTAGGTGAGGCTGAAAAGCTGGTCTGTATCATGTCTTGACCTGATCTACTAGAGATACTGAAGTCCTTAGGTTAAAGCCCTTATTCCTACTTGTTGAAAAGTTTGGCCTCAGCTGAGGCAGTTGGTCAGATCTGAGTGTCTAATCTGATTGGCAAGGTTCGTATCTTGAAATTAGCTCTGTAATGCCTTGCTTCAGGTCATTTGTCACTGGAGAGCAGCCCCCTTGTCTTCCCCTCCCATGTCTACAGCTTGACAGCTTTCAGAATTTCTGTGATATGTGACCGGTGTGGATGTTAAGGTGATGAAAATTGGGTTTTAGGTTTCATTTGATGACTTGCCTATAGTTCCATATAGGTGGCTTTCAGAACTTCCTGTGAAAGTGAAGCTAGTGGGATATTTCAGAGTTACATGGCATCATTTTGAGCCTTGGTATATAGGAAGAACATAGCATGATGTCCAGACTGCTGAAGTGTGCCCTAGCTGATGGTTTCTAGCCACTGCCCCAAGTTCTGCAAGTCAGTTTCTATTTTCTGCTGGTCCTTTTGTGTTTCCTTGACTTTGGGATAAAATTCCTAAGTTTTTGCTGTGGCCCACAAGGTCCTGCCCAATGTGATTGCTTGTTTAACATGTTTCTATCTCTGTGGCACAAAGTGCTCCATTCCACAAACTGCTCTTCTCCACCACACCCAAGCTTCTTCCTATGTCAGAGCTTTCACGGACGCTCCACCCTGGCCTGGGACACTGTATCTCCCTTTTCTTGGCTGTCTGGACCTTCATGTCTTAATAGGAAGGCTATCTGTAATGCTGTGGCCCAGTTCATTCTTTTGATATCTAGCAATCACTCAGCACCCAAT